TGTTTGTCAAGCTTTGATTTGATTTTCTCTGCTCTAGGGAGGAACTGACAGGCTTAATAGAGGCATCTGCATCATGTGGAATGGATAGGGTGAGGCAATACCCTCAAAACATACTCTTTGCTCTAAATACCTGAGTAAGTCAGGCTTAACTGAATAAAATATTTTAGAATTTTTTTTTATGGATTTTAAAGCACATATGCCCTATTTCTCAGCAAATCTTGTGAACACAGATAGAAGTATAAAATGTGGTTACATGCCGTTTTCATATTTCCATTGATAGTATGGTGGTACTAACACAGATTCTAAAAAGGAGAGACTTAAGGGTAGAAATCCAGTTGCGGGTACAAGTTGGGAGGCTGCTTTGAAGTCAGTTGGAGTAGAAAGCACGCTGTGTGTTTATTTGTTAGGGCCTAAAATTATCTTTTTGAGTAAAGCACATGGTTTTAATATAGATTGTTTGTTTGAGTGCCTTGAAGAAATCTCATGGAAACTACTGAGACGTAACTCTCTTGCCTCCATCAATTTGTACCTGGTCATTAATTCTGATAAACTCACCAAAATCACAAGGAGGGTATAACACATTAAGTATTTCTTTTTAGCATGCTTTACAAGTATCCCTTCAAAGGTCTTTCTCCAGTCCAAAAATACATTTATATTTTTTCAGTATCTAATATGCTATCAACCCTACCACCATCACATATCCAAAGCAAATAATTCTTAGTAATTCTTCCTTCAATCAGCATCAGAAAACCATGACACTCAGGATCTCATCTGAGAATAAAATCGCTAACTCTCTGTTGCATTAGCTAATGCCTTGACAAGAGAAATTATATTAAAAGTGACCATGCAAGAATATGCCATCCATCTGATCCTCAGTTTATATATTATAACTCAGCCCCATCTCTGGATAAAGCTATAGAACCAGAAAGCTACATAAATGAACCACATTAACCTAGACCCATACGAAATCACTTTCTCTGAGTTATGTCTCAATATGCAGCCCTAAATTTATATCTAGGGTCCAAATGAGAAAGAAACATGAAGCATGCTGCCATTGTACTATAAAATCAAGGTAGAATTACTGCCTTTAAGATTATTCAGGGCCTTCTGCACTGAAGTTTTTTTTAATAGAAAATACAGTGTTTCATTTTTGATATGCCTTGAGGTTGCCTGTGCATGGCAAAGACATGCTTTTACCTAGAACCTTTGTTCATTTAAGGTAGCTTAGAGGAGTATGACAGAAAGTAATGACTTAAAACCCCCCTAACCAAGAAGTAATGAATTTATTTTAGAGTTTAATACTTAGGACAACCCTTGAGTCAAGATGACATGTCAACCATATGTGTTGATCTTTTTCGCCTCTGAAAATTTCACCAAATTGCTTGTAAAAGAATAAATCATAGTTGAAACAAGTAGTAGCACTCTCTCCAGCACCAGGGCATGCTTAGTCCATTTTTATTTTTTAAGGCCAAGCCTTCTTCATTTACTTAATTACCTGCGTGGGCCATATGGGCATTTGAGTGTGCAAACACTATCCACATCATTGAAGTGAACAACAAAGGAAAGATAGTACAACAAAAATGATGATGTGGGGATAAAGAAGCAACAGCCCAGAAGAGTAAGATTGAAGTTATACAGCTGAGGGTGGAGGTTGGGGTTTCTCAACACCATCACAGGAGAAAAATTGAGGGAAAAATGGGAATATTAATTAAAAGTCAAACTCTTGCCTTTCTGTCTCACCATGTAGGACCCAGACATCTATCACTTGGATAAAAAAATCAGGGAAGTCTCTTCTCTAAAGGATTTCCTGATTCCCCCCAGAAATATTTTTAATTGTAATTTTTTAAAACAGTTGTAATAGTCACATGCCTGCCTAATTGCTCTAAAGTAAATTCAAAAACCACTGTGCAGAGAACTACTGACATGCTTAATGTTGCTTTATTTTTAAATATATATAGGCAGCAAAACATCATATGGTATTGGAGGCAAGACCGCACCACGGAATAGAGAAACTAATGGTAAATAGGAAAATGTCATTCCGGAGGAAATTGACAGAATTTAGGGAGTAGAGGAGAACATTAAAATAATGAAAATAACATCCTCAGAGATAAATTAGTATTATATACCTATAACAGAAAGACGCACACACACACAGATAGAGAGAAAGAGACAGAGAGAGAGACTCTAGGAGAGAAAATCCAATAATATAGCTTAATACATTTAAAAAATTATAGCCCGAATAATAAGTTATAAAATAATTGAAGATAAAAATGTTAAAACATTGCCAAAAATTACAAATATGAGAGAAAATATGTAAGAGAGAGGATACTCTCTCAGTGTATCCTCCAGGAGGTCCAATATCTAACCTACAGTAGTTCGGATGATCAGAGCAGAGTGGAAAAAGATATGAAAATCACGACAGAGAAAACAAGAAAGAATTTCTCAGAACTGAAGGACATGAATCTTAAGATCAAAATAATGGATGAGTGCTTAGAATAATTAATGAAAAATTACAACTAGACACTTTATTGTAAAATTTTGTAGTGCCAAATATAAAAAAGAAAATCCAAAAAGTTTCAGAAGGGATTAAAATTTACATACAAGTCAACAAAAATGACCAACAAAAGACTTAACCATAAATATTGGATTCTAAAAAGTAATACAATAATGCCTTTGAAATATGAGAGAAAATGATTCTTAACCTAGAAGGAATTCCCAGGATTACAACTTTGATCCAAGAGCCAGTCCTGATTGTTAGAGCATGAAAATGGGCCCGTGATTGAGTATAGTGGTCTCTGATAAAGAAAGTCAAGAAAAAATACGTAACATAAATTTCTTTTAAACGATGACAGAATACAAAAGAGGTGAAGAAATGTGAGAGCATCTCAGTATACAAATGCCTGATAGGGTTTACAATGTGTAATTCTCTATAGTCAGATGAATGTGAAAACTATATATTGGCCATCACATTTTAAAACTAATCTATAGGTAAAATACAGAAGACATGGAAAATGGAATGTGTTTTTATCAACTGTGATGATGCAAAAGTAAAAATAGTAGATTTGGGGAAACTTGGGACAATGGAAGAGAAGGCCACAGGCAGTCACATCCTCATCTTATAAAATGAAGAGCCAAGAAAGCCAGCTCACAGTTAATGTACAGGAAAGAACAATGGAGCTACACAATTAAAATCAGAAAAGTAGCCAATACACAACTGAAAAATAATAATGTAATTTAATGGAAGGATGGAGGAAATTATGGAGGAGAGTAGATAGCTAAATCTTTGTCATCATTGCAGAAAAGAAATAGACAGAAAAAAATTCCATCAAGAAATAACAGCATAATCATCTTATTAAAAATGCTAAGATAACAACTGGGATGGCCAAAAGGATTAAAAATTGATACTTCTGGAGAGGGAGGCAAGAGTTGTTAAGTTTTGTTTTTACTATAAATAATTGTTCATGACTTGACTTTTGAAATTGGCATATATATTTCTTTAATGACTAAAAATATGTTTAAGTAAAACCTATAACTGCCAAAATGTAATAATGAATGTACTAACATTTAATATACTAACCTCTAAATATTATGATTTCAATTTGTCTTTAATATATTCATTTGCTTCAGAAGCCTAACTTTGGGGTGATGAGACACATACACTATTTTTACGTAACATTTTATCTTATTTATTTTCAAAATATCTGGGAAGCCACAAACAACCCCTTAGGTTCTGAAATTACTGATCAAAGTAAATTTTGGAAATTACTGATGAAGAATACATTTTCAAAAGTAAATTAATTTTCCCATAAAAACTTTACAAACTAGGAGAATACAAAAATAAATTTGCCTATGATGAAGGAATTAAAAAATGCTTTTAAATGTATTCTTAGAAATGTGGAATTTATAGAATGGAGAGTAACCCACTGGGGCACTCCTGGAGGAAAAGTTCTCAAACACGGCTACACAACAGAACCACCAATATATGGGGGAAAAAAAGACCCCACTTACATCAATTTTCTGGGGGTGGAGGCACAGGCATAGGTATTTTTTAAAAGTATCCAGGTGAATCTGAAGTGACACCAAGGTTAAAAACTACTGTCCTAAATGAGGCTATTTCCTAGTATTTCCATGAGGAATCTCTTTCCAGCATTTCTTGGGTAATTTATGTGTTTTGCATTGGGAGAAAAAAATCAGCCAAGGAGTGGAGAAAATGGGGTGTGATGATTTCTTGCAAGAGATAAAAACAACAATCAACTTAGAGACACTGTTGGTTCAAAGAAACCCATTAGTCAAGTTTACTAGTCCAGTGGAGAGCAGAGAGGTTGAGGTTGACATTTCTGGGAACGAGACAAGAGGAAGGAGGAGAGAAGTTTCATGATCTAATCAGGTGTCTTGCTTGTGGCTATCACCCTATTTTAAATGTATATTCATGGCCCTGTGTACTACTAAAACTAAATCATGTTTGCAAATAATATTTATTTTAATAAATGCAATGCATAGCATAATTCAGACAAATCCTATGAGTGATGTCCCAAGAAATAAGTTTAGAAAGCAAAATAAATCTTAACATTGGCGATTTTGGCACATGGTTCTGTGTAGTGCTGTTAACTTTGTAAAGGTTGAGAATATTACATTATTTAACTGTAACTCAGTAGTCTTCACTGGTGTATATACAAGTATTTAATGCACCATAAGCTACAGTCCTTTGTAAATATACAAATATGCACCATATGCTACAGCCCTTTGTAAACATACAAAATGTAACATTTCATTTATCTTTGTAATAATGTGTTTAGGTATTCATAAAGACTACAAGGAATGTATTTCAAGGATCATTTATGTTTTGTAGAATTCCTGAAAGTCCCCAGGAATTCCAATTGCTTATTGGAAAAATCCAAAGACTCATATATGTCAGAAAGTTTAAAACATTACACCTTTCTTTATAATTGTAGTACCAGTTGTGGGTGAGTGCTGTCAAAATCGAAAGTCTTCACACTTACTTTTTTCAGGTGAAGAGGACTCCATGACTGATGCGGGCTTTTGGAAGAGGCAGAATGGGGGTGATGATAGTATTGATGGGGCATTGGCATCGGACCAAGGAAGAAACAACTGGACAAACGTGGAAACTTTTAGAAAAAGGTCTGTGTGGGTGCAGTCACTAATGGAGTTACTGAGTCCCGAATTCACTGAACTGAAAGAAAACAAGCATCAGCTGGTCATACGTTCTTCATTTAGTCAGCTTTTCTTTTTCTATCACTTCTACAATAGAATAAGCCTCAGTGCAAACCTTGCAAACATCTTCTACCAAGATTCCCTTTATTTGCTAGCAGTGCATTTTTTAAAGAAAGAGGTGGGGCCAGCGCAGTGGCTCACGCCTGTAATCCTAACACTTTGGGAGGCTGAGGTGAGCAGATTGCCTGAGCTCAGGAGTTTGAGACCAGCCCGCACAACATGGCAAAACCCCATCTCTACTAAAAATGTAAAAATAAAAATAGCCAGGCGTGGTGGCACACGCCTATAGTCCCAACTACTCAGGAGGCTGAGGCATGAGAATCACTTGAAGCCAGGAGGCAGAGGTTGCAGTGAGCCGAGATTGAGCCACTCACTGCACTCCAGCCTGGGTGACAGAGCGAGACTCTATCTCCGAAAAAAATAAGAGGTGGCCATATTTGTATCATAGGAACATCCATCTTCAACTTTTAAATAAAAACTTAATGAAACCCGAGATACAAAATAAAAGTAAAAGTACTTAATATTTAATTTTTAAATATGTTGGTCCAGAAAAAAAAAAAAAGTTACCTGATTTTTTTCTCAACTAGTGGCAATACTATAACCTACTGCGTTTCTCTTGTCGCCTTGTCCATCAAGAACCTGAGAGCTAAGTACTACAATTAGTCACGGTAAACAAGATTAGGCATTTCTTTAGCCTAATTGTTTTATCTTCCTTTTTGTTATTCTTATTTTGATAGTTCTGCTGCAATGTCATGTTTTCATATTCCTGTGTTTGTGGTAAGCGACCTCAATGGAGTGCAAAGAAGCAGAAGAGAACACAACTTATTAAAAGCATATAATATTCCATATACTTCACATACTTAATATTTACAACAACCCTATGAGGTTTGTATTATTCCCATTTTACAGATGAGAAAACAAATTCAGACAGGTTTAGTGAATTTGCAAAGCAAATAAAAGTTAATTATCCGTGAATCTACGGCTGGAATTTTAACTCAAATGTTCTCAATGCCAAGCCCATATCCTTTTTGCCGTAGCACAACACCATTTTTCCTTCCACACAAACTGCAGTTACTCTATGAGAGCTGATGAAGGATGTTTTACTTGGTTGTGATTACAATATAATTACAGTACACACACACACACACACACACACATATGCACACACCTAGTCTCATTTGCATGAAAAAAGACAAGGCAATAAAAATTTTAAAATATTCACATGACTAGGTTCTAAGCCCCTTCTTGACTCCTGCTACGGTGACTTTTTTTTCACCCTCAAATCCACCAAGGAAAGTTGCACAAATAAACAGCTCCAAAGGACCATCCAAAGCAAGAGAGAAAGTGACGCCTGTCCCCACTTATAATCTCTGAAACCAGAGCTGGAAGACTGGGGTGCCAGAGCAGCTCAGAGGTTTCCCCAACATTCTGGTATATGAGAAGACTGAAATATTTTAAAATTATCTCTACACTGCTGTGGCTTTACCCGAAAAGAAGAAAAAATTGAAAATTTATCTCTATCACTATACTGCCAAAGACAAGTATGATCATTAAAATTTGTGAGAGAGCAGTTAGAACAGGTGGATGTGTAATATTAAACTGTTCATAGATAAATCTTAAATGTTTTGAGTGGGCTAAGGTACTCATGAAATGTAAATTTTCTGCAAGTGGAACTTCTCTAGATTTCCTACTATTATGTTCTCCTTCTAGGGACAGAAAAGAAAAGCACATTCACATAGCTCCAATTATCCTTCACATTACTGGAAAGATACTGTAAGGTAGATATTGGAGCAATTTGTTAATTGTGATAATGATACAATCAAAACAAATGCTATTAAACATGAAACATTATCGGCTATTGTAATTAGAGAGCACAATTTAAATAATCCATAAAAGTTTTTTTAAATAATAAAGCTGTTCTTATAGGATTTAGACCTTCATTTGCTCCTTTTCCCTCCTGGCTGGTAAATTCATCTAGCTATCATTTATTTATTAAAGAGCTTTAATCAAGGGAACTGCTGTGTTGTCACATTTTATTAAAGTTGGTCCTGAGCTGAGCACAACAGGAGGAGGTCATCATGGTGCTACGCAGCTCCCCCACAATTAGACACTAAAGTAAAATTACTCCATCACTGATTCAATTGATTTTTATAATTAAATAGTCTTTACTTAAAATAGTAAAACGGACACAAAAACATGTTCTGCCTTGTTCAGCATCAGCAGGTCCCTATTTGCATCTTGAGTTTTTCCTCCAGTTATGCTTACACATCTTTAGAATTTGTTATTTGCTTTGCCTATATCGAAAGCAGTTATATATTTTTAGGTACTCTATAAGCTCTATAAGGCTCAATTATTCTCTCTTTTTTTTTTGAAACAGAGTTTCACTCTTGTTATCCAGGCTGGAGTGCAATGGCATAATCTTGGCTCACTGCAAGATCTGCCTCCTGGGTTCAAGCAATTCTCCTGCCTCAGTCTCCTGAGTAGCTGGGATTATAGGCGTGCGCCACCACACCCGGCTAATTTTCTTTTTTTTTTTTTCTTTGTACTTTTAGTAGAGATGGGGTTTCACCATGTTGGCCAGGCTTGTCTCTAACTCCTGACCTCAGATGATCCGCCCTCCTCAGCCTCCCACCGCGCCTGGCCTCAATTAACCATTTTTGTTGACTCCTCTGAAAAGTGGGTCAAGACTGTCACTTCATTTGCAAATGGAGAAGAGGGCACACTAAGCATAAGTGAATTATCAAGGTCAGATCCCAAGAATAATTTCAAGTACTATCTTAAAATTTTAAGATATTCATCTTAACATTTGTCTTTAAATTTTAAGCTCTGTCAAAGTGTTTAAAAGAAAGAACTGTGTAAAAGGAAGTCATTTCATTATTCTTTTAATGAACATGGTTGGCATGATGTCTCAGAACTAAGAAGTTGAAGATGGCCAAAATGTATAAAAATTTAACAAGTTATAGGATTAATAGTCAAATCAAGCTTTTGGATTACTTTAGGATTAATAATCAACCAAATACCAAGATCAGAACTAAAATACAGTTTGCACCACATGGCCACAGTTTGGTTGAGGAGTCACAGACTGGCATGACTTTCATGTGTACTACTCATTAAGTAGCTTTGCAACTCACCCTATGAGCATATTTCATGTAACTCACATAGTTCCATCAGTGTTGTCAGCTTTGACAACATACAACAAGTTTGTTTTTTGAAATTATTCTCACTGCCAGAAATAATTTAAAAAATAGTATACAGTAAAGACCTTACAGAAACAGTGAAAATTATGACTCATCCAGCTAGATGTGGATTCCACATTTCAGTGTGCCCCTAATTACACACCTTAGAGGAGTCTGATTGATGATATCCCATAAGGAAAATACCCTCTTAATTGATTCATCACCCAACCAACCCCAATCCGCTGTTGGCAATGACAGCCACAGAAGACTGTGTGAGTTATTGACTAGGATTATTAAATTACTCTAATCCATATACTTTTCAGTTCTTTACAGTAGATTAAAGTAAGTTCACACAAGTTGACAAGAACAAGACCAGAAAAAGGATGAAGGCCACATAAGAAAAAGCAACTAAAAGTTTTTATATCATTCATTCATCTCACAAATATTTATAGAGTGTCTATTTTGTACTAGGTGTAGACTAGGTACCTCACATACCATGGAGAGAGTAAACAGCCATGACCTTTGTGCTGGTTAGCATTACCATCTGAATGACAGAGAAATATTTTTTAATTCTACTTATCTGCTTTTGAAAGTAACACTAGAGAACAAAATAAAATGAAGGCAAATTTCAATCCTCTTCTTTCCCGTTTCTTGCTAGTCATCAGACGCTGAGGCTCTCAATCTAGTTAGTGTGAGCTTGAACTCATTATTTAATTTCTGTGTGCCTGTGTCTTCATTAGTAAAATGGGGGAAATAATGGTACCCATGTTAAAAAATTATTGCAAAGATTAAATGAGTTAATCAATGTAAAATGCAATGTAGAACCCTGTAGGTCCTACAGTAGGAAAACAAATGTTAGCATTTGCTATTGTAATAAAATTTTTATTACAATTCATCTGACTCGTAACCTTAAGTGGTTAAAGTAAAAATCTTCAGAAGTAGTGACAATGTTGATGTAAGTAAAGAGCATGGAAATCACTATATTAAGGGTCAGGTTGTTTTGTCCAGGATTGGGCATGTCTGCTCCAGATAACTGGTGGTACAGAACAACCAAGGTTAGGATTGAGGATATTTGTCCAGGGAGTTGAGAAGTCCTTTAAGGGAGAAGTAACTCATCATTAAAAGAGCAAGGCTGTGAATCCAGGATGAGGACAGCAAGGTGAGGCTGAGCATTGAAAATGTCACTCAGATTGATGCTTAGCCTAGTCCTTGTGCTCTTGCTCCAGGCCTAGAATGGGGCATTACCAAAGAAAGAATGCAAAGTAAGTTTTCTTCCCCCCAACTGAATCTCCATAAGAAGTTTAGGGTATCAGCAATGGCAATGTCAGAAATCCCTGTGAGACTTGAGTGAGCACTAGAGACAGTAGGCGGGCACTCCACAGACTTGGCTGGTCCAGCTGCCAGTTTTGGTTCTAGCACCCACAGAAGCTTTCCCACAACAAGCCAGAGCTCGACAGGACACCAATAACAGATATCACAGGATGATCAATTTACAAAGGTCATATGAAACATCCTTGTTAGGAAATTCAACACACTTGGGTGAAGAAACTGAGAATTTTTAGATTTTCTGCAAAATGGGCATTAGCTTATCCAGAGAAATACTGGTTTGCGTCTGTTATTTTGACACCGTTGTTAACTCTCAATTTGTGCTATTTAGGGTATGCTAGTTCTGCTACTCTAAAAAGCACTTTAGAAATTTTTAATGGGGAAACATTTTCTAGATGTGTTGTTAAAGTGTTTTAATCCTACCTGTAGTTCGGAAGCAGCAATATTTTTCTTATTTTCAACAGAGAATAAACCCGAGCTGACTTCCTTTCCTGGGAAGTAAAAAGTGCTCAGTATCATTTTTATAGAAGATTAGGTTTACTGTCATAAGCAGTCGTTGCATCCTGCAATGATTTTTGGCACACTCATACTACTTTTAATTTGAGTTGAAGTTTACTAACTATAAGCACAAAAGATGTTGCTTTCTAACACATAGCTCCAGGGTAATGTGAATTAATCCAGGAGACAGACTTCATCCCTGAGCAAAAGATCACTGGTTCTAGATTAGGGAAAGTTTGAAAGTTCATATCAGACAGCCTCAGATCAATGCCTAACTTTTGGTTTCCTGCTACACGGAATAATTTTTAGGTAAGTGAATTTTTAGCAAATGTACTGAAAAACGGTTCCCAGTGAGTGCTGTTCTTCAAAAACGAATTCATATATTTGAGAACTAGCAACTTATTCCAAAGAAGGTTGCTGTTACTCAAAACTTGATTAGAATTCATTCTGGAAATTTTTTCAGAGCTACTTTACAAACTGTACAAAATACCAGATCTATCAGTATAAATTATATGGTCCCATCTATTCTGATCCTCAATTTAATATCAGGTTTGGTTCAGAATTCCTTCTGTCCTCTTCAGAAGCATCAAACCCAACAAAGCAAAAATAACCTCTGCTGAAGTTTTCAGAAGGAAATTCTCTAAAGGTTATATCTCATGAGAGTTGCAACAGTATCTTGAAAAATAATACCGTAGTTACAATATGTTTATAATCTCATAAGCTGTAAGAGGCAAGATTCTTATTTGTATACAATTAAAAATGAGCATTGTATAATACATGTAATTTGCATACTTCCACCCAAAACATGAGTTTCAGCAAGGCTGAAACAAAAAAAAAAAAATGTATTTTGGAGTTGGTCATTTTGAAAATTAAGTAGCAAGCAATTACCTAATATCAGTTCTTCATAAATTGTTTTCTATGATTAAGTTTTATTTTTGGGTACTTTCTGATTTTTTAAAAAAGGCTAAATCAGCGCCATTCCACTACATCTAAGCTCATCTCTGCATTCCCCCAGGACTTCAGGTTTGCTGTGCTGTATTTTACTAGTGTGTGGTGTATACATGGTGGTCTATGCATGGATGGAATCGTTATATCCCGGATAGCTTGAGTTAGTTTTATGTTTGAAAGTTTTTGTTTACTTTCAAAAACCTTGACACGAATCGACCCAAGTAGGCTAAAAAGCTGACTGTGGAAGTTATATTTTCTCAACATATTAGATCAACAACTGAATCACTCTTAAAGGTAAAATGATTTCCTCAACTCCTGGAACACAACGTATGTACTGACCTGTGTCAGTCAGGAAATTCAGAATGCCAGATGTCTGATGAAAGGTGCATTTTCTTAAAAAGAGACCCATTCCTATATAATGGGGGCAGGGAATAATAGCACGAGCATCTGGCACAGTCTGTAGATCAGTTTGCTTGGCCCAGAGGTCTGACGCATAATAGCATTATCGCAAATCCCAGACTCACCATCTTTTGCCCATGAATGTTCGTGGATTCTGGCTGCACAAACAAAAACAAAAGCAGAGGATGGCCATGTCAGGACCAGTCGACTATTGACATACAGAAGATGTATGAATGCAGCCTCTTGATGATCAAGACAGAAGCAAGCATTGGAAGACTACCAAAAGTAAACAGTTTTCCTTGTCCCTACAGGCATACGTGCAAAATAAATCATTCCTGAGATGGTGATTAATGTTTTATACTTTTCTACTTCTCCTTCCAATTAAATTAAATTAACATACATCTAGTTACTTATGAGACTGAGTTCTTATGGCCTTCTCGAAGGCTAGTTTACTATTTATGAATGTGGTTTGCTGTTGTGCTTTTTATATCTCTTTAATGGCCTTGATAATGGTGAAGACATTCAATGTTATTGTGTTTCCTCCATTTAGTGGGTTTTATCTTAGACTCCCCTGGGTTGAGGTGAATTGTGATCTAACAAATAGACCCATTCTTTGTGCTCCTCACTCTGTTTTCTTCCAATGTCTAGTAGGTGCATAATTGCTACTCTTTTTGACACAGCAGCCCCATGTGAACTGTGATGTTTGCGGGCTGACGTTTTGATCTGGAGTGAAATTTATGAGCTTTAGTGCCTTGTTGTTGGATATTCTTCCTCATACCTTTATGTAGCTTCCTATGCTGCCATTTTACCTATTTGATACTCGTATTGATGGATAAATCACTTCTGTTGAATACTTAACCAGAACCGGATCCTGTTTGCATATTTCTAACGTGAACTGGTGTTGTGTAGGTGTCCTAAATGTTAATGAGCTGTCAGCGACACTTACTTCTTGGCTGTCTGTTTAGAATGTTCGACGTCCGGATGATGTGAAAACCGTGGGAGTCAATGTCCAGCACCCCTGAAAAGATATGAGGGATCTGTTCAAGATCGTTAATCTCTCTAAGTCTCAATTTCCTCACGTGCAAAATATTTTATTAATGGCTTATTTTATTTTTATTAATAGCTTATTTTAATATTTATATTGATATGTAATATTTGTACATATTTGTAGGGTACATGGATTATATTGATATATATATAAAATGTGTAATGATCAAATCAGAGTAAGTGAGATGTCCTTTATCGCAAATATTTATCTTTTCTTTTTGTTGGGAACATCGCAATTCTTCTAGCTATTTTGAAACATATAATAATAAACAATATATTGTTAATTGTAATTCTCCCCCATGCTATCAAATACTAGAACTTATTCCTTCTAGCTGACTGTATTTTTGTACCCATAAACCAAGCTTTCTTTATCCTCTCCTTGCCCTTTCCCTGCCCTGCCTCTGATAACCACCATTCTAATCCTCACTTCCATGAGATGCAATTTTTTAGCTCCCACCTATGAGTGAGAACATGCAATCATTGTCTTTCTGTGCTTGGCTTATTTCACTTAATATAATGACCTCCAGTTTCATCCATGTTGCTGCAAATGACATGATTTCATTCCTTTTCACAACTGAATTATAGTCCATTGTGTATACATATCACATTTTCTTTATTCATTTTTCCGATGATGGACACTCAGGTTGCTTCTGTACCTTGACTACTGTAAATAGTGTTGCAGTAAACATAGGAGTGCAAATATCTCTTTGATATGTTGCTTTTCTTTCTTTTCATATATACTCAGCAGTAAGATTGCTGGATCATATGGGAGTTCTATTCGTACATTTCTGAGGACCCTCTATACTGTTTTTCACGGTGGTTGTACAACTTTACATTCCCACCAGCAGTGTATGATCATTCCCCTTTTTGCATATTCTCAACAACATTTTCTTGTCTTTTTGATAACAGTCATATAAAGTACTTAAAGTAATTGACCGTCTCATAGTGTGGTCGTAGAAATGAAACAAGTTGATAGAGCTAAAACACCTAATGCCTGTTAAACACTTAAAAAATGCTAGCCACCATTAAATATTTTTAATTTTACAACTATTGGTATAACAATGTTGACAAATTCTATACAATTAATTTTAGAATTACTAATATATTGATTTATTAGTAAACCTTATAACTTTTATTCTTTATCTGGTTATATATATATGATATATGAATTTATTATATGATTCCTTAACAGTCACCTAGCTCAAATAATGCATAAATATGATCGCATATTCTTGAATGTACTTTTAGAAGATTGTTGGTGATAGGTATAATGTGGAAGAGAATAGAAATAGTTCAGATTAAATGTAGGTCACAGATATGTCTAAGTGTTATCAACACATCAATCCCACAAATTATCAGTTTTTTAAAAGACCAACCATAGCTTAGAACCCATTATAGTGACAATACAGACACAGCCATTGTCTAGAAGGCATCAAGTTTCTAATTTCAGAATATGTTTACTTCTGTAACTTCTTAAATACCATTATGTCTTCAGGTATGAAATTTCACTTCTGTGTCACTTTAAGAAATACTAGTATATTTTCAGATATTGGATTTCAATGATATTAGGTTTTATTTCTTTTTAAAACTCCCTAATGTTGAGATTTATATATAATATAAATATTAATATATTAATAAATATAAATATTATAAACAAATTATGTAAACATAATTATCACATAACTATATAGTATAATGATAATATAATAGAGTGATATAATATAAGTAAAATAATAATGGTATAATTTTGGTTAATCAGAACATGTCCTAGATTCTTTCAATCTAATAAATGCATCCCAGGTAATTTCCATGAATTTACTTTTTAAAATTACAAGAAATAATATCCCTCCTACAAAAAAGGGAGTCAGTAGATTCGTATTCCAATTCCTTCTGCTGCATATTCTCAGGGTTTTCCGCACAGTAGATTGTGGTATCTTTCTGGAAAGGGGGATAGCTTTCCTCCAACCTAGGCAGCAACTTTGGCAACTAAGAAAGATAAGACCGTGGGTTTGGATTTGAAGAATATCAACTTAGTAACTAAACAGCCTGAGACGATACTCAGGAAGACAGACAGTTCCTCTATTTCATATGACTTCATTCTCTGAATTAAATTTCATTCCAGGAAGAGTACAAGACTTTGTCCACCCAGCAATTGAGTATCTTTAGTGAAAGACTGTAGCTGCTGATGCTTAGGCACTGGACATTTTCAGAGATGGGGGCTCTGGGAACACACACCTGCTGGATTAAAAAGAGGTGGGTGACACAATAGTGGCAGGGAAGGGCAAAGTGGCCTTTCTTGATAATTCTATTCTTTGATAACTTTCATAAAAAAAGAAGTTTGTCTCTGCCTCATAATACATTCAAATTGCTATGAAATAGGATCAGTGTTTCAGCATGTGAACTAAGATGTATATTCTCATGTCTAGGGCCTAAGTGCCATGTTAGTCTTTTACTCTCAGTAAGACAGTCAAGTGAGAAATGGTGATGATGAAACCTAACACAAAACCCACAGAACTGGGCAGGCACAGGAACAAGCTTTAAGGGGTAACAGAGTCTGGAAAGCAAACCCAGACTGCCAATAGGCATCAGCGAGGGCTGCTGGATGTTAGGAGTCGGTTTCCATTCCCTATAAGGAAGCAAGGCTCCCAGGTTATAAATAATCTCTGGAGAAAATACAGGATTTCAGTGCAAAACATGAAATGACGATCGGTCCAAAAGCCCATACTATGAATTGAGGCACATAGAATGATGCTGAACTCAGGAAATTAGATGCAATAGACCTATCCTATTCTCTATTAGCGGAAACTGTAAGGTAAAAGCAATGTGAGAGCTCCAGTGATCAGAGGAAGCACAGTATGTTCCAGATGGGTTTTGCAGTAAGAGTGGCTCAGTGATGCTATCCTCAGTCAGAACAGCAAGGAGGATGGCCCGCTGTGAATATTCAGCCAAACTGGGGTGTATAGACTGGAGCTCCTTAAATTTCCTATTAAATCAAATTTCCTGTCAAAACATGCATTTATCAAGGAACCAAAATATGGCTTATCTGGGAAATAAGGCATGATATCAAGGAACTGAGCAGTCTGAGACACGCTGAGGTAAACAGTTACTCTGAAATGGCAAGATCCTGTAAGTGGTGAGATCCACAAGTTCATCAGTGGAGGAGCTGGGCCAGGAAGAGGCGTGGAGATCGAGATGTGAGTCAGTGTAGATGGAGTGATTGAACTGACTCAACTGTTTAGAGACACTGTGTGCAGATTCAGTGGGGAATATGCCATATTGGCTGAAAATACTGGATAGGACAATGTCTTGGTTTAAGTTGGGAAAAGAAAACCCAAAGGAAATTGAGTACTTGAAAGAGAAATAGAGCTTCAGATCACTGAAATGAGTATGTGAGTATATAACATGTGCATAAATATGTTCCCAGAGTTTTGTGTAAGAGCTGTGAATTGCAGTATTATTGTCGCTTCCCTTATAGGAACATCTTACTAACGGCCCAAAGATTGCTTCTGTCTGGATACACTAGGGCTATCACCTCCCCATCATACAGTGAACATGGAGGTTTACCAGCTTCTCAAGATTTCCTTAGCATGACATTGTATGTCTGTGTGTGTGTGTGTGTGGTGTGTGTGTGTGTGTAAAGCTACAGAGAAGCAAAGAAAGTTTGAGTGAATTAGAATGCCATTATATGTAGCATTTTATCTTTCACAATTTTTGACAATACATAAATCCTATTTATAGAAGCAAGCTTGTGTATTAATGATTGCATGTCAATATTAATGATTAGAGCAACAAAACAATGCCTGTGGGTGGAGACTGAGAGACTGAGATGAAATCAAAGCGGGCACCATGGAAACATTTCAGAAGGAAGAGAGCTTCATTATGGTATTTCACTGGAGTGCTTATCTTATTTGGCACTTCTAATTAATGCACTAAGAGAGAAGGGTAATTTCTTTTATTGCTGAATCCTTGTAAACAACAATGCCATGTGAACCATTATTTTAAAAGATGGAAAAGCATTCAAAATTCAGAGCTTTTGTTTCCTAACTTAAATGTACCACTTTGCCTAATGGCTTCCTTATCTTTATCTACTTTGACATTTATTTTTGACATCTTATATCCTTCATCAGAAATCCAAAATTTTTAAATGTGTTTGTTAGCCACTCGTATGTCCTCTTTTGAGAAGTGTCTGTTCAATCGTACTCCAAACCCCAGCATCACACACTCTACCTTTGTAACAAACCTGCACATATACCTCTGGAATCTAAAATAAAAGAATATCATTATTCTTAATGTTACTAATGTGTTATCAACACATTAAGATCAGGAAACTCCTTCAAGTTCATGCGCTTATAGAGGCCATTTTTTAGAAAATACAGGGTGTCATTAAAAGGTTTTTTTTTAACAACAGATTTGTGCAAATATAACAAAAAGAGATCAAGTAAAGTTTAGAAAGAATGGTAAAATGTAAAAGGAGATGGGGCCGGGTGTGGTGGCTCGTGGCTGTAATTCCAGCACTTTGGGAGGCTGAGGTGGGCAGATGATTTGAAATTAGGAGTTCAAGACCAGCCTGGTCAACATGGTGAAACCTCGTCTCTACTAAAAACACAAAAATTAGCCGGGCGTGGTGGTGCATGCCTGTGGTCGCAGCTACTCAAGAGGCGGAGGCAGGAGCATCGCTTGAACTTGGGAGGCAGAGGTACAATGAGCAGAGATTGTGCCACTACACTCCAGCCTGGGTGACAGAGCAAGACTCTGCCTCAAAAAAAAAAAAAAAAGAAAAAGTGAAGGGAGATGGGAAAATTAATGAGTGAGGTGATGTCATACAGGAAGCTATTATAAACCTTTAATTTAAAATACATAAATATGCATTTAGTCAGAGTGCAATCTGGAATGAGAAGAGAATGTTAGGAAATAAACAGGAGCCAATATTATACATTTATTTTACAGAAATTTTTAAAGAAATACTAAAATACTGCAGTGGAATTACACACCAGATAAGAATCCCTAAATTTCCTGGTATTGGAGGCAAAGTCTCTTATAACACCTTCAAAGAGAAGAATACAAATGAAAATACACTAGAAAAAGTGAAGTTTAATTTATACTAAAGTATAAGGACTATGAAAACGTGAGCAGAGAATAAAGGAACAATTACAGGACAGCCCTACTAAGAAATAGGCAAATTGAAATTGTATATGAAGGCAAATTTCACCCATCCTATAAGTTTGCCCTGGGCAGGACTAGATGATCTGGAGCTCAGCGATTTTGAGGAACATATTGCAGTAAGGGTAGGCACATTTGGGAATAATTGCATTTCTTAAATGCAAATGCGTAGTGCTGTTTCTGTTCACATATTTATTATTCATTGTCACTTAACCATGAACAAGTGTAAGATCCCTTTCTGGCATGAAAATATATTTGCTTACTTTGTTTTTCAGTCAAGACTTCTCATTCAAGTTTGTAATAAGAATTCGAGCTTGAGTAATCATTGGGCTAGAACTTGTAGAAATATAGAACTTGAATAGGTAGCAATCATATTTTTGTAAGTGATTTCAGCATTAAGAGAAATGTATCATGGTTTCTCAAAGCAAGATACCTTACAGTTGCCCCATGGCATGAACATGAAGATAAATTAGGTTGAACTGAGTAATTAGTTGAAAAATAAGAATGCAAGTAAATATGGAATATATGACTTATACAAGTCTTAATCTTGTTTTCCAAGGTGCATGGTAACTATTTCACTTATTGGAATAATTGGCCAAGGAATTTGTTAGCTAGTAGATTTTGTTAGAATGATAAAGTAGTTGTAATTACATGAAATTTTATAATAGTCCTCATTTTGTTGGCATATATAAGCAACAAAAAGGGAGCCTCTATTTATTTAGGTTACCCTGAATAATTCTTTCTCTTGAACCGCTTTGCTGCAGAAGTTTGCATGGAATTAGCTAGGTGGCTGTACCCTCTACAGGAAGCCTCTGAGAGGTTACACAACAAAAAGCATGCGTGAGATTCAGTCTGATTTCTGAGTACAAGCACACTGAATCTGGCCTAGCTGTATACAGACTGAATTCCAACCGACAATCTCTTGGAAGGCATTAAAGATTTTTAGCTCTCTGCTGAGCATGGGTTCTGCATCTCCTTAGGACATTAAGAAGTTCTGTTACCCAAGCTCATTGATTTTGTTTTTTTTCATTTAAGACATGCTTCTTGATTGAAAAGAAGAAATTAGGTTTGGCCACCAAAGAAGAATGAGGTGAAGAGCAGCCTGCAGTTGATCTAAGTCTCCACTCAGATGAAATGTTCCACTTTCCCTGAAGAGGCGGGAGGCAGTATGGTTGGTGAATAGATGTGGACAACAGGACAATCCTAATGGCAATGTCAGCTTGAGTCAAGTCTTCTGACATACGGGGTATTTGAAAAAAATAATAATATTATTTATGAAACTGGACAACTTACTTTATATCTTTAATCCTCAGCTTTCTTATCTGGAAAATGGGAATAATGATGGAGCTATTATGAGGCTTAGAAAGATTATAATCAATGGTAGGTATACATGTGGCAACCTACACAGATAGACTACAAATAGTAGTAAAAAGGAAAAAAAAATGTAAAATGTTTCTATGCAGTAAAAAGTATGAATTCAAAAACAATATTATTAATAAAATGTAGAACTAGTGGTTATAGAGAATTGAAAAAGTCTGAAAATGAGGTTTTTCATGTTAAATTAAATTTTCTTTATTTCTGATCTCAAGCCCAGATTCACAAGGATACATTAGGTTGGAAGATACATGGTAGTGAAAAACTGAGTAGCGTAAATGCATGTGAAAGAGCCAAGGACAAAACTCAAGATGATGTGTTATTTGTCTGTTTCTCCAACTGCAATAATGGAGGTCAATTAATTAAATACTCAACAAATATTTAATAAATAGTCACTGTGCATTCAGCAGTGCAAATTACCACTGTAGTACCTGCTTTAATTGTAACTCACATTTTATTGAGAGGAAAATAAAACTCTTTTTTTGTTGGCTTTGAATGAATTTATATACTGATATGTGCAGAAAAAAATGAAATCGGAAGTTGTATTCTTTCTTCAGCCCACATCCGATGGAGCATATGTGTTGTCTCTTTGATTTAAAAGTCCACATTACACAGTGTGCCTTAATTACCATATGGTTAGTGGAAAGTGTGCATCTATGGTGCAGTAATCTATTCAATATAGAAAAATCTATTTATGATTCAAGAATAAACCTAACATTAGACTTCAGTGTGTTTTTTTTAGCTTTGCTATAACAACACTTAATCTGGAAAAGAAAATTAAAATTCAAAAAATTATCTTGCTGAATTATAAATTAGAAAAATTGATTTGCAATTATCTAGTTTTTGAATTGTGTGGCTTATGAAAAAGGACTAAAGCTGTCTACTTGGCTTACTTTAGCTATTGATCAATCAAATAGGTTCATTTCAGGAGAGATTTTCCTATAATACTAGTTAGGAACAATGCAAATCTGCCTGCTACATGGTCACTAAGATTTTAAATAGAAGAAAAGTCATCTATAGCATGAAATAATGATTCTCAAAATGCAAAAGTTGAACCTAATTTCTAAAAATATTCTAAAATTGAAGCAAAATTAAAGAACATGGTATGTTGTTAAACAAAAACAAAAATTAACCATTGGTCATTTGAAGGTATGTTTCCAGTGGAACATCGTTAATAGAGAGGATTGATCAAAGGCCGGTTAGAAGAGACCTTGTCTCTTTTGTAGACTTAGAGCATCCTCGGGTTAGTTAAAAAGCAATGAAGAGATAAAAAGAAGAATATCACAAATGACTCCATGATGAATATTTAAATGCACACATCACCCTTCCTTAAGCTTCCTATTTTCCGACATTTCAACGAGGTTTCTTCAATTAGAATAAAGCTTTGTGCTGAGACAATTAACAGAAAATTAGAACAGCAAACATTTTTTTTATTATAAATGTCTGGAAAAAAATTAAAGACAAAGTAGAATTTTCTTGACCATTCTAAGGAGTAATTAGTTTACATTAAACTTGGACCCAGGCTAAATCTAGAGAAATTTAATAAAGTAGACAAATAAGCCATATATTCCACTTGGATATCTTCCATAACTCCTACAAGTCTTTAATAAAATCTCATGTTCACCACAAGACCGCTGGTGAACATTCAATTAAATACTATAACCTGCACCCTCTGGGGCACCCCAGTCTCCTTACCTGATGTTCTACATTTTCTTTCTTCCACAGTATCTGAGAATTGAGGCCATCTGATTCCATATCCTTAATTATTAGGGCTGAGATACAGGAGGTGCAAGTATCAATATAACACAGGACATTTTTGCCCCAGAAGATAACGCTGCAATCCAATAAAATACATCAATCTTTGCTTCAGAAATACTCATTGATTCATACAGTTTACTCACCTAAGCAATCAGCTCTCCTAGCAAGCAATCAGTTGTTCACACTTATCAAGCAAGCATTTACTTTGCAAGACTTTCTCTACCAATCAGATAATGTCACAAAATCTGGCCAATCCTAATCAACTACCCATTTTGAAACATAAATCTTAAGCCACTTGATCCCAGGCTACAAACATCAGAAACACTCTTCAGCAATCTGCTAGCCTTTTATGGATTTCTTTCGGCTGTGGATTTTTTTTTTTTCAAAATCTGTTGAATATGGGGGATCATGGGAGATGGGAAGCAGGACTAGATTGCAGCTCCAGACAGAGCAGCATGCAGAGGCTTGCATTGTGAATTTTAGCTCCAGATCAACTGCAAGAACAAACCAGCAATCCCGAGAGGACCTACAGACTCTCTGAAGGAAGCAGACTGCTCCTACAGGACCTGGGAGACACCCTAAATACTGTGAGTGCCCTGGCTGTGGAAGTGGGAAAGAGAAGTTGAAAGGCTGTTTGCAGGAGAAGTTTCTGACTTTACCTGGAGCTGAGTCAAGTTAGAGAGCTGGGATGAGTGAAACACAGGGGCAGAGGAAGTAGCAGAAAGGCCCTAGGTGCTCCCTGGGTCCCCAAGCAGCCCATTCCTGCCTGGCACCACAGGGATCCATCAGGAGGGTGGCCAGAGGAGCCTGGGGTAAAACTCCACAGGGAAAAGGAATTCTCGAGCTGAACTTTGTAACAATTTGAATAGGGTGAGAAGCCTCCTGGTCACAACTTGAGAGAGGGTATGAATCTGGCTTGCAAACTTCAAAGGCAGGGGAAGAATTAAAACCCTTTTCTTTAGCAGCTGGGAGGTGGAAAGCCTCGGGCAAGTTTTCAAGCTCATCTCACCCACCATCTGGAAACAGACTCAGGGCTGTTGCAGGGGGCACCGTGGGAGTGAGACCGGCCCTTCAGTTAGTGTGGGAGCCAAGTAAGGCCTGTGACTGCCGGTTTTCCTCCACTTCTCTGACAACCTGCATGACTCAGCAGAGGCAGCCATAATCTTCCTAGGTACACAACTTTAGTGACCTGAGAATCTCACCCCCTCCCCACAGCAGCCACAGCAAGACCCGCCCACAGAGAGTCTGAGCTCAGACACACCTAGCCCCATCCCCACCTGATGGTCCTTCCCTTCCCACCCTGGCGGTGGAAAACAAAGGGCATATAATCTTGGGAGTTTATAGGGCCCCACCCACTACCAGTCCCTCTCCATACTACTACAGCTGATGCTTTCTGGAAAGTGCCACTTCCTGGCAGGAGGACAAGCAGCAGAAAAATAGAGCTTTAAAACACCAAAGCTAAGGACCCTCACAGAGTCCATTGCACCCTCGCCACCTACACCAGATCAGGCACTGGTATCCATGACTGAGAGACCCATCGATGGTTCACATCACAGGAATCTATACAGACAACCCCCAGTACCAGCCCAGAGCCGGGTAGACTTGCTAGGTGGCTAGACCCAGAAGAAAGACAACAATCACTGCAGTTCAGCTTATAGGAAGTCACATCCACAGGAAAAGGGAATACCCCATGGGGCAAAAAAATCTGAACAACAGCCTTCTGCCCTTGACCTTCCCTCTAATAGAGCCTACCCAAGTTAGAAGGAACCAGAAAACCAACCCTGGTAATATGACAAAACAAGGCTTGTCAGCAGCTCCCAAAAAATCACACTAGTTCACCAGCAATGGATCAAAACCAAGAAGAAATCCCTGATTTACCTGAAAAAGAATTCAGGAGATTAGTTATTAAGCTAATAAGGGATGGACCAGAGAAAGGCAAAGCCCAATGCAAGGAAATCCAAAAGATGATAACAAGAAGTGAAAGGAGAAATATTCAAGGAAATAGATAACTTAAAGGAAAAATGGCTGGGTGCAGTGGCTCACAACTGTAATCTCAGCATTTGGGAGGCCGAGGTAGGTGGATCATCTGAGGTCAGGAATATGAGACCAGCTTGGGCAACATGGCAAAACCCTGTCTCTACTAAAAATACAAAAATTAGCCAGGTGTGGTGGTGGGCACCTGTAATCCCAGCTACTTGAAAGGCTGAGGTATGAGAATTGCTTGAACCTGGAAGGCAGAGCCTGCAGCGAGCCATGATCAGGAAATCCAAAGATGATAACAAGAAGTGAAAGGAAAATATTCAAAGGAAATAGATAACTTAAAGAAAATGGCTGGGTGCAGTGGCTCACAACTGTAATCTCAGCATTTGGGAGGCGCAGAGGCAGGTGAATCATCTGAGTCAGGAGT